TGAACCACTTAATATTCTACTGTGAACACTGTGAATACCCAAGAATGAGCTATCATACAGTGTTTTCTGCCTTATTTTATGTAACATCGTTTTATTAAGGATTATCTCAAGAAACTCGTTTTTCAGGAACACACCTTTGAAAGCTCTGCCCTAAACTATTCCTGGACTATCATTCTCTGAGCCATTATAGCAAAAATGCAGCCATAAGCATAATGTAAATGAATGGGCATTGCTGTGTTCTAAAAAAACTTCATTTACAAAAATAGAAGGCAAGGTGGATTCGGCCTGCAAGGCACAGCTTGCTGATCTTTAGTCTAGAATAAGTGAGATGGTAAGGCTGTATGACCACACTGTGAGAATTACACTCAGATGTCATGCTTTAGGAAGGCCAATTACAAAATGAAGCATGATTAGATGAGAATACATTTGGAGAGGAAGTCAAAGCTACAATACATAAAAAATAAAGAAATTTTTAGCCCAAAGAGGAGAAATATATTCATTTGGAGACACTACACCTGGATACTATATGATATTCACCATACCTGAATTACAACTGTCCTTCAAATATCTGAAGAGTTTATTATACAAACCAATAAATGGATGTTACTAAAAAAAATAGGATTAATATCAGCTCAGTGTAAGAAAAAGCTTTTAAGCAACGTTAACAAAAATGGTTGGGTTGCCTTGAGTGGTCATTATTCAACAAAAATTAGATTTTTTAAATCTAAACAAGAGATCTCATAAAATTCAACCTTCCATAAATACCAAATTCAGCATCATTGTCTCTACTAGAATATCTTGTTTACCTTCTAAAGGTAACCTTATAAAAATACTGAAATCTTTTTATCTCAAGCTCATTATAAGAAATATATTTCACATTACAACCCAGTACACAAATATAAGGAATGTACACATGATGCACACACATACACAAACTGAAACAAAATTTTAAAGAAACAATGTCTACCCTCACTACACGTAATATTGTTTCCTATTCCATTCTATTTCTCTTTTTATTAAAAATACTGATCATGGCCCACTCAACTGACTTCACGTAACCACAGTCCTAAAATATCCATAGGAGCCTAACCAAAGCTTCTGACAGGAAAGAGAATTCCTATTTCAATACCATTTTAATGTAACAATGAGAGGAAACCATACTGCCTGTCTAGAATGCGATTTCTCATGATTCAGAGAACATACATACGGAGATACACACACACGTACTGTGAATCACAAGAAACAGTGGGCACCCTAGAGAGTTATGTCATGTTCACATAACACTGACAGTAGGTAATACTTAACCTTTTCCATTTCCTAAACTCTTTCCTAGAGTTCAAGAATTTCTAAGTTTCTTAGGCTCTTAACACAGGTTGAATGGATGCCCTAGAGCAGAATCTCCCAGGTGCTGCTGTTAGACGTTAATCCCCTCAGCTCTCAAAGCGAGTGGAGCCTGAAGCAGACAAAACCCTGAACTGGTAGCCTCAGTTCCTGCTTTCCCTCAGGGGCATCCTCACTAATGTGGAGGAATTTGCAACTTGAAGAAATCTGAAGAAGGAAGAGGAAGAGAAAATGAGTACCGACCAGTAATTGGTGTCAGCACCTGGCGGGCACTATGGGCAATATTCAGTCTACCTGCCAAGGAGGGACTCCAGCACATGACTACTTCAGGAACCAGACACAGAGCATCCTGTTTCCCATCCCGGGCAAGAGATCCAAGGAGCAGAGAGAGAAGTTTGGAATTCAGGTATCCAAGAACAGCCCAAAGTGAGGATGGACGGGAGGAGCTGGGATGGCTGAGTGAAGACAAACAGCACACACAGCTCCTGGCAGGAGCCCCGAATCATTGTTTTCACACATTTCAGATACTTTTGTCCACTCGGGGCTTTTCAGCCCCCCCAAAAATTCAGCATAACTTTTTATTTTAAAGAGGATCAAACTGTTCATACTTTTTAATCTGCTTTATTCATTAAGTAAACATTTCTAATACTCTCTTACGTCAGACAACCTTCTACAATATATTGTAGTTTATTATACTTTTAAATGGATATACCATGATTTATTTTACTAATCCTGTACTAAATGAGTTTTCGGAACATTCTAAAATTTACCTATTAAAAAAATCATATGAACATCTTTGTAGATGCACCTATAGCTTCAGAATAAATCTTAAAACTATGTGGGGTTTTAAGTACTGATAAATAAAATTGCCCTCGATAAAGGCTGTAACAGTCTGAACCCCAGCCAGCCATTTCCAAGTTGATAAGTACCATCTCCAACCTTAATTAACATTTTTTAATCTCTGTCATTTTATTAGGTGGCACCTAATTGTTCAAATTCACATTCCTTTCATTATTTTTAAATTGTAGAGTTCCCTTGTATTCCTTCTTATGTAAATTGTACAACACGTATTTCTCAGTTTTCTATTAGGATGTTCACATTTTTCCCATTAATTTGTAAAGACTTTTTCTATGTTAGGATATCAATCATCTGTCGTATGTATTTGTAACTATTTTTATTGATTATTTACCTTCTAATTTTTAACTGTATGTAGAAAATTCTTTCATTTTAATGTTGTCCTGTCTAACAGTATTTTCTTTCTGGCTTAGGAACTGTGTTTAGAACTGTATTTCTTACTCCTACAATCAAATAAATATTCACCTATGTTTTCTACTAGTTCCTTTACTGTTTTATTTTTTACATTTAACTCTTTAGTTCATCTGAAATTAAATTTGGTACGTTGACTGAGAAAGGAATCTAATTTAACTTCAATTAAAGTAGTTCAACACTGGAGTTCGGGTCTTCTGAGCACAAGCCATTCGTACTCCTAGCTTGACCCTTGTAATAAACCTTTCTCTGCACCCAAAACAAACAAACAAAAAAGTTAAGCATTAAAAAATATTAATAATAAATCAGAAGAACTGTTACTTTTGGAAGGGAGGGTGAATAAAGCCGTTGAGAAGGTGCAAAAGAGAGATTTACTTTTGCTGGCAATACTATATTTCTTAAGATGGTCGGATAGTTGTTGTACAGGTCCATAAACTCTTTATCTGAAACCTTCGGGCCCACTTTGTTTTGAACTTCAGAATTTTGGAGATTTTATAAAGATAAAATGGTACATACTGTTTATTCTATAACACCTCCCAGTGGGTACTAGGACAGCATCCCATAATCAAATACATTAATATTTCTGTAGCAAAGTCAGTGATCCAAGATAAGTGAATTTGTTATGCCAGGGGCCAGACCAATACAGCTAGAGTCTTTCCTGAACTTGAATCTGTCGTATCAAGAAAGAACCTTCGTGCTTTCGTAGAAGATACTTCATAACTATCACTGATTTATTTTCTTTGGCTCAGATTGCCATGCTGCAATGACTTCTAATACCGTGCCCTACAATTCTGTCATCCCACAGTGGTGGCTTTTATCCAGCAAGGAAGTAGACAGATGACATGAAGAGTCAATTTAGTTTCTTTTTGAAAGAAACTAGTACTGATTCGTGTTACTGGTTCTTAACCACATGCAGTAATCACAAATGAATTTTAACCTAAAAGAGCATTCTTTTTAGCTGAAAGCCATAATCCCAATGATCTATATATTTCAGTACAAATTCCTTCCTTACTATTCACAAATCTTTAATGCAAATATGTAACCTGCGATGTATTCTTCTTTTAATGTTAACCAAAACCCCAGCACCGGACAGAGAAACAAGTCTTAGAGTTTCCTTACTTTGAGTTTCTGGGCCTCTCCTCTCACTTTGAGCAGTTCTGTTATAGAGTCCACAAAGCCCTGGTAGTGAAAGTTGCACATTTTCTCAATTTCTCGGTCATGATTGCGGATGCGAGTTTCAAGCTTCTCCATGAATCGTCCATGTTCCTCACCATCATAGACAGACCTTTTAAAAAAGTCATGAAGATTACAGCAGATTTATATCTAAGAAACAGAAACAGAATTACAAACCGAAAGGCAAATTTATATCTATGTATATATTTAACTTACATAAACTATAGAGTAATCCAATTGTATTTATGTTGCCCCAATACTAGATGAGTATTTTTTTAGGAAAATCTCAAATTTTGTTTCCTTATTTATTGAAAAATATTTAAGTGTTTAACAGTATTCATCACAGAATTGTCATCAGAAAATGAAAGGACTGAATTACAACTCCACTGTATCTTTCTTTCTCAATTAAACTAATCTAGAAAAACTTAATTTTGAATAAACCCAACTATCTAATTACTCCATGACCATACCCAAGAAGCTGATACTCCTGGAGAAAAATCACAAAGCCGCACGTGCTGCTAGACTCAGTTTAGCTATATAATGACAAATTTAAATCAGGCAGTCAAACATTGCTAGATAATACTAACAAAACTGTTGCCCCCAACACCACCATCAAAAAATCACTTTGTATTCTCCAAAATAATTCTGCAAAAATCTTACTTTCTTGTCTCCTCAAAACTCTACCCTCTCACTCTCAGCTGCTGACTGACTACACACTTCACAGAAAAATACAGAAATATTTCTTCTCCCACTAAATCAACCAACCTACTGACATCTGAAACTGCTACTCTGTCTGTCAACCCTCCTGTAACAATGGAAAAAGTAGTTCAAGTTCTTATCTATAGCCAGTCATTCTTGTGGTCCCTAAGAACTTTACTCCTGCAATTATTCCCTTTTATCCCTACCCTGCATTATCTATTTCGCCCACTCTACTAAATCATTCTCTTGGGTATACAGACATGACTTTAAGAAGCCTATCCTTACCTACACATTTCCCTCCAGCCACCATCTTATTTCTCTGCTCTTCTTCCCAGCAAAACTTCTTTTCACTTCCTCACCTCCCAATAGTTAGCATTCATTTTACTGTACCTAATGGCAGCATTTGCTATGGTTTAAATATACCTTCCTTCTTGAAACAGTCTTTTCTCTAGACCTCAATGATATCACACTAATGTGGATTTTATCCTTTCATTGGCATGCCTTCTCAGTTTCCTTCCGGAGCTCCTCCTCCTCTATTCTTTTTCTAAATATTCCTAAAACATCTCCTCTTCCCTGCCTATGCTCCCTCACCAAGCACTGCCAGCTAATCCCATGGCTTTATCATACCATCTATACAGTAGTGACCTCCTAATCTTCAATTCAGAGTACTTCTCTGAGCACTAGGCAAATATCCAACTACTATTTAACAACTCCAATTGTTTTTTTTTAAGCTATCTCAAATTTAACACAGAAAAAAAAGTTATCATCAAACTATCTCCTTTCCCAAACCTATTCCTCCCTAAAGCTCCCTACCACCCACCTACCCCATCACAGCTAACAGCACGGTCCAGTTGCCCAAGTCAAAAATCCAAATCCAGGAATCACTCCTAACGTACCTAAAGTACACTCTATCCAATCCATTTTTAAGTCCTGACAACTCAGTCTCCAAAGTATATCTTAATACTGACCACATCCCACCATTTCCACTAAAATCCTAGTCCCACATCATTGCCACATCGGACCAATGCAATAGCCTCCTAAAAGTCTCCATTCTGCACTCCCCATCTCCCCAACTCCCTGTCCCAAAGCAGACACTCTACACACAGCAGTAAAAATAATCTTTATAAAGCAATAGTTCAGATGTTATCCCCCTGCTTATCTCTCCAATTCCTTCTCTTCAGGAAAAGAACAAGTCTTCAATTCTTACCATAGTCTATAAAATCCCACATACTCTAGCCTCTGATTATCTCCCTAACCTTGTTTCTCTTTAAGTCCCACCCCTAGCCTTGCCTTCCTCCATCCTCTTTGCTCCTTCTACACTGCATTTTTTTAAGCCTCGCCCTACCTCAAGAATTTTGTTTTTCCTGTTCTTATGCTAGTAACGTTGATCCCCTTTATCTTCAAACAACTTTCTCTTTCTCTTTATCCATGGTTTGTTTTCTACCTTCTCCCCAGCCTGTCCCAATTAGATTGTAAAATCCACGGCAAGCGGTTTGTCTGCCATATTCACCACTATATCTCTAAAACAGTGCTAGACAGGTAGCAGACAGTGAGTAAACATTTGCTGACTAAATGAATGACTAACGTTACCTCTAAGAACTTCTTGATCTCTGACACTTATTCAACAAATATATATCTACTTATTACCAATATTTTCTAGTTCAATAATCATTTGTGGGTACTAGATCACTACCCTGATCCTGGGGCTAAGACAGCAGACACTCAGCAGATCAGTTCCACTGCCTAAAACACAGCAGTAACCACAGAAAACACACATACAAGTCTGGTTTCAAGTAAAAATTCTGAACACTTACTTCAGAAAAACCAGAGCGATCTAGATTCATTCTCCTTCCTTTGAAATAAAGGGAAGAGATCGTCAAATAAATTATGAACAATCCCTGCTTTGACAATGAAGACACACACACTATAGAATAACCACTTGCCTGAAGGAGCTATTGGAATACACACGACAGAACCTCCCATTGACATTTCAACTAACCTCAAATAAGCTTTTCCCCTTCCAAAGGAAAGGAAAATAAAGGTTTCCATGTCGAGGCACTAATATTCCTTGCCATTTGAAAAAAAGGAATAACCACTGAAAATTCATCAATGTAAATGGCATAAAAAGATATTATTGAATAGCGAGACAACCTCTTGGTTTCAAATTCAGTTATATCTTGACTCAGTAATACTTCTAAGTTAAATATACTTCCTTCTAGTATGTAAAACTTCATTTTATTCCCTCCAAAGATCTACATTAATATGACAAAAGACAACCTCAAGGAGAAGAAAATTCCAAAGTTAAGAAATTCATAACTTATGTTAATAATGCCTCCTTACTCCCTGAACTTTCTATTAAAAAGTATAAATCAAAGAAAGGAAAGATGGACTTTAGCTGCCTGACTGTGTGACCTTGGTTTTTAGCAATGTAATTAACTAGCTACAAGTCTTTTGCCAACTCAGTGAATTTCTCTGACCCACAGCTTTCTCACTAGAAAACAGGAAGCAATCAATTAGAAATTCTCTTTAGTATCAGCCTAACTCTAAATTTCTCAAGTCACCTCCACTTTCAAGTTCAGTTAGTAATAATGTAAAGATCATCCATTTTCAGAAGAGTGTAAAGAACAGTCAAAACAAGTAATGAATTTTCTACATCCTTATCATTAGGCCCCACCTGTTTCTCCTAGTAATTCTAATATCTCTTTAATTATTATAATATTTATATGGAATAACATGAGAGGTTTATAGCGGATCCCCTGATCTTGGAGATTAAAAAAAATCAGAATAAAATGTAAAAGCCAAACATTTAAAGCAGGAGTTTTGGACTATACTTAATAAACATGTGTTCCTAAAGTATGCACCTGGAAATCCACAATTTTCAGATTTTATGTAGATTTTATGTGTATAGGCAAAAGCATATATATATATGTGTAATTTTAAGGGAAACTGATCCATAGTTTTCACCTGACTATCAAAGCGGTTAAAAACCATGGATTTAAATTAAGGTTTCATTCCAAATTGCTTACCATAGGAAAAGGCAATTATAATTATAGGCCAGCGCCTATAGTTCAACTTTTATCAGCATTTCAAGTGTATCTCAGACTTAAGGCTCAACAACATAACTATCAGATATAAAATGCTAAAAACAAAAGTAAACAAGTCTTAAATTCTGGAAAGATCACAGATCTACTAAAGTTAACCTAATACTGGTAGTCAACGTTGTAGTTGAATAAAGAGTATCTCCCTCTCCCACAACAAATTGCTTAAAGTGGAGAAAGACTGCCATCTAGTGACGGTCCATTTGTAACATTCCTTGAAACTTAAATGTGATGTGGCCGAGAGGAACTACTTAAAAATTTAAAAACTATCGTCTACAATACTTGCTAGCCAACATCTTATAACTTACTATTAAGTGATATTTTATATAAAGTACTCTAATATTTAAATATCCATTTCTAGCAGGAAGCACGATCTTAAGAACAAAGTCATGTACTTTTGACACGTGCCACAGATGTGCCACAGTTAAGACTATCTACAAAATAAACTGCACCACTGGTTAAAATATTTGCGATAATCCAAAGAATATTCCAGTACCTAGTGAAACGTAAACAAGAAGACATGCTTGGAAATTAGCAGCATTTTATAGCCTAAATTTTGACTCTACTACCTAAATGCTGCCTTTTTGAGTCTAATTTCCGAAAAATCCCAAATAAACCACAGGTTTTTGTAAAAAATACAATGTTTTACCCTAGTGTTCATATCTGACACATACTTCTAAACATCCCACTTAGATTAAGAGAGAGATTTTAACTTATGAAACACTTCAGGAATTCTATTCAACAAAAATATTTATCATTCCCTGGTACTGAATCAGCACAGGATAGTATCACTTGCCAGAGCCTCCATCAGCCCCAATCTGTTTGTCAAAAGAGAAAAATAAACAATGCTATGAGCATATGGTATCTCATTTAAATCCTAGGCATCTTATAAATTAGACAACATTCCCATTTTATAATTGAGGAACCTAAAACCCAAAAAGATGAAGTAACTTGCCAAATTCATGCAGCTAGAAAGTGTCCTGTATACTACATCAGTCTGTCTCCTCTTAGAGCAAAGGAAAGCAAGAAAGTTACATGGACCCCCCCTAAAACATTAGAGCTGAAAGAGGTCTTGGAAATGGAATACAAAGCTTTTATTGTACAATGGAGGGAACTGAAGCCAAGAAGAGTTAAATGCCTTAATCAAAATTACACTGCTTGTTACTGATACACCTGGGCCTGACTCCCAAAGAAAACACAGTTAGGAAAAGTTAATGCAATATGAAGCCTGACACAAAGCTAAGTGGTTGGATTTTTAAAAAAGAGAGACAGAGAGAGACAGAGAGAGAAAGACACACACACACACATACACACA